AACCGGGTTCATCAAAAACACGAACCCCCCCCCCTAACCGATCTATCGTAAAGCTTAGTCATCGCACTGATCAACAAACAGGGACATCAGACTGAACACCCAGCACTGATCACGTCACTAGTCATAAGGAATCTCACGGATTGGTTCCCTGATTGCCTTAAAACCCAATCAACCTACTTACTTACTCACTTGGCCTAAGGAAGCTTTTGTGTCAAAAGCGAAACGTTGCCCAGCAATAAATCCACCGACTGTTTACCAAACCCATCTGAAACGATAAGTTCATGGAGTTCAATAAATCCACCGACTGTTTACCAAACCCATCTGAAACGATAAGTTTCATGGAGTTACGCAAATGTTGAAAGGAAAAATGGGCGGCTCTTCACTCCGCGGTGCATCTGCTCGCCGCACTGTAGCTGCACAATAGGCACAGGCATCCTTGTCTGCATTATAAACTGTTGATGACTCAAATCTCGCGTAGGCGCCAAGTAATCATGGAAGTCGGCTACATTGACGTACAAACTTATCTTACATATCTTGGGCTCGGTGGTTGCCAAGTGCGACACCCATAGCAACCACGGACATCTGTATCCATTAAGACTGAGAAGCCACGCTCGAATCTATGCTCAAGCTTATGCTACACCTCGATGGCGCTTTATGGAAGCAGCTACAACACTTGACAGCAACGTGACTGCTCGTCTTTTTGCAGGAGCTAGCTACTCTAAGTTACCTGTGTCTCACTAGTATCCTACCTTATCGAAATTCCGCTGAGACAGCCGGTTTGTTCATTGATACCTGCCCAAGGGATAATGCTAAGTAGCTGTTTGTTTACCCAAATGGAGAAGTGGACGACAAGCAAACCCTATTGTCTAAGAGCATCCAAAGGGGTTGAGTACTTACACTGCATGTAATTGTATCCAGAATCTGACGTGCTTCTTTTGGATCGTTTCTTTCTTTGTCGTTGACGTCGTGCAGCCTTAACACAAGCTTTTAAAAACAATAGGGCAGCGGTGTTTCCGTGATGATCTAATGCATCGACAGGAACTCCGGAGTCCACCAGATACCTGATGTTCAGAGTAATGACAAAAAAAGAGTGACAAACGGTTGGTTAGAAGACTCGGCATGTGGAGCGAAAAAATGCAGACAACTGCCATGATGTTATATTGTATACATGGCATAATACTGGCCTTGATAAACCTGCCTGCTCAATGCCAAAAAGATGCAGACCACAGAAGAGCACAGAAAGAAAGTTGAAAAATACGACCTCATTGTACCTGTGGGACTAGGAGACGGGGAGATTTCGCAGCAAGGCGATCTCTTCTAATGCTCCACTAGCGTGAGTGGGCGAAAAACGACACGACATGCAAACATAAGAAACCGATTTGGATGGAAGTGTCACAAGTAACGCCTAGCAACCTGCGAAACAGAACGAGGAAATTGGAAAAAGTTTGGAACCGATTGAGAAGTCATCGTTTCAGAAGAGCTCGGTAAACAATCGGTAGTTTTTATTTGGGCAACGTTTCGCATTTGACACAGAACCTTCATCAGGTCAAGTGAGCAGGTCACAAAATTGGCCAGGTTATAAGGCAGACGGGGAACCAATCAGTAAGTCAGTCCTCTTCAGATTATTACACTAGATCAGTGTTGAGTGTCAATTAATGGCTCTTATCGGTTAGTGAAGTTGTCAAAATCTTGCTTTGGTGGATTGGGGGGGGGGGGTAAATTAATGCTCCGACAGTTTACTTCGAAGACTTGAGGTCAAGTGGAATCCAGATGATGACCGCACACCAACACGTGTCAGCTCGACTGATCCAGAACCGTCCTCCACACGCTTGCCAGTTCCACACCTATTCTGTTAACACTGGGATGCCTGGCGATTGCTACCGCCTCGGTGGTCAGTCTGTGTGACGTAGACCGTAGTCCTCGCCTCAAAACCTCAACATTTTCTAAGTCCATTTTGTGCCCCGTGTCCAGTGCGTGTTCTGCAATCGCCGAGTCTTTCAGTAATGCTTGATATTCATCTGCGTTTCCCGGCGACCTTTTTATTTTTCTGCCATACTCTCCGACTCTGATGTATAGTTCCCTGGACGTCTATCCTATATAGACCTTGGTGCAGTCATTACACTTGATCTTGTAGACACAGTCCCTGGTTCTGTTTGCCGGGAGACGATCCTTTAATTGCACCAGTGCAGAGCGCAGAGTGTTCCCCCTCTGGAAAGCTACTCTTATATTAACCGGGTTTAGAATTCTTCGAATTACCTCCGATGTCCCTGGTTTATATGGAATAACAGCTGTCCCGATCCATTCCCTGTTGGGTTTCTCTACCGGTATCAACACCCTTCGCAATTGACGCCTAATCAAGCTAGCTGGATATCCACTACCCCGAAGTTTGTTTTTTACCTCAATTTGGGCCGCTGTTCGATCGGCTTCTTCTGTGCACAGGGCCCTTACACGCCTAAACATTGATGACGCAATACTGGCGAATACCGACTTCGGATGGGCAGACGAGTAGTTCAAAACTGCCCCAGTGTCGGTTGGCTTTTCATACACTGTGGTCTTTAGTCTCCCCCCAACCTTATGTGTCATGCAGTCTAAGAAGGCCAGTTTACCCGATGTTGACTCTATCTCCATACTAAATTTGATCTGTGGACTCAGTTCATTCAGATAATTGTAAAACTCATTAACCTTGTCCCGTTTCATGACGACGAAAGTGTCATCTACATACCGCCAGAATATCTTTGGTGGGTGTGGGAATCCGGCTAAAGCTCTCTGTTCAAATTCTTCCATAAATATATTTGCCAAAACCGGGAATATTGGAGATCCCATTGTTAGACCTTGCTCTTGAGTATAAACCACTGAGTCAAATACGAAGTGGGTGAGATTCAGACATGCTTTTATGCCTTCCACTATCTCATCTACCGTAAGCTGTGTCCGTTCCGAAAGGGTGGTGTCCGCTAACAGCAGTCGCTTGGCTATTTCTAAAGAGTCCCCTTTTGGCACATTTGTATATAACGAATTCACATCGAAACTTACAAGGATGTCATCCGGTTCAACAGTGACACCCGCTACTTTGTTGGCGAAGTCATATGAATTTTTAATGTAAGTACTAGATTTCCCGGTTAGGGGTTTTAAAATACCGGCCAAGAATCTGGCCAGTTCATGCGGTGGGGAACCTATTCCGTCTACTATCGGTCTCACCGGGACAGCTGGTTTATGGATCTTTGGAAGGCCATAAAGTCGTGGTTGGATTGCACTTTTCGGGTACGATCAATACCAGTTGCCTTGCCCCAAGTGGTTTATCACGGACCGCAAATTTCTCCCAACTTCGGCTTTACTCCTATTCATTATAGACGTAATATTCGCATTGTTGATCTCCCGATAAGAACGAGGAAATATCAGAGACGGAAATGGTGCACATACTTCCCCAAAGCACCTCAAAGTCACCCCATAAAATGACGAAATCATCATCATCATCGACAGCATGAAATCAGTGTTCAACACCGATGCCGTAAAACTATGATGTATTTGAAAGCCTTATTGTAAAGAAAAGAGTAAATGTGGACAGGGGAGGGACTTAGTGCTAGCTTACCACAATCATTCCGAGGTGCCTACACCTCCACACATTCCCTCAGGCAATCTGGATAGAAACTGACAACAAGAATGCCACTGACATCGGTTAGCAGCCATATCTTTTAGTGTCTCCAATCAGGCACAGTGGGGATCACGCGGTCCCCATCCTGGAAGGCGAGTAGCACCGACAGCACCCAAGCGTTTCGTGATCTCCTTCATGCTCCTCTGCCAAGTCAAGGGTTGGCCACCTCTCTGTTTACGTCACCCTGAATTGGGCATGGAAAACAGCACTCTCTTCGGCAAACGATGGTTCGGCATACGTAACACATGTCCCAACCAACGCAGCTTCTGGTGCTGGACGCATTCTTCAATGAAAGTACCCGCTACACAACCAAAAACCCGCTTTCTAACTGCCTCGTTACGGATTCGCCGACACCAACCCACACGAGCTATGGTTCTGAGACAACGATTGTCGAACACCTGAAGACGTCTCAGGTCCGCTGCTCGAATAGGCCAAGTCTCACAGCCATACAACAAAACAGCCCGTACTGTAGCTTGATACACACGTCCCTTCAGATTCAGGGATAAACCATTCTGACGCCATAGATATCTCAAATTAGCAGACGCGGCCCGAGCCTTGCAGATTCGTGCATTCACCTCATCTGTCACACTACAATCAGGACTAATACAGCTTCCAAGATACGTAAAGCGCTCCACAACTTCCAGTACCTCTCCCTGGATTGTAAAGGGCGGGTTCAGTGACTGCACGTCCACAAGCATGACCTTACACTTTGTAGGTGCAAAGTGCATACCAAAGGACAGGATGACCTTGGCCAGTTCATCCAAGAATACTTGCGTCTTCTCCTCCTCTTCGAACGTTAGAACGATGTCGTCTGCGCTGGTCCTTGTTCACATAAACCGCACACACAATCCCTCGTTCGAAAATATTGCCATGCAGGCAGTCAGAAAAACATCGTCCAACTAAGCTGTAAAAGTTGAACTCTCGGGTTAACTTTCCTACCATTTCAACAGGTGATCTGGAGACGATGGAAGTTTATGGTGTCACTCGTAGTGACAAACATCATGTGAGGTACAGGGTCGTTCACCGCTCTTGAATGCTGTGTGAGCCAACCTTCAATGGTATGCTGCGGTAACTCAGCGTAGGAAACTGATGAACCACGTTCCCAAGTGTATCCAGAAAGGACAAAAAAGTACAGCACTCTTGATGAAGGTTCAAGGAACGTGAATCGAATCTTCAAAGTCCGCACATCACATCTGTTGGTGGATTTTAAGCGTTTTCAGCCTTGCCTACCCGTATCACCAGAAGTAGTATCAAGTATACACACTTCTCACGACTACGAAGCGTACGACGATTTAGGGACGCGTATGACATTTTGTGCAGCGCAATGTTTGCACATGGTATACGGAGAAACAACATAACAGAAAACGGGTGTTTCAAAACTGCTAAATAAGACTTCGAAAAAGGTTTCGAACATCGGGAAAAATTACGTCGAAATGTCTTTACGACCAAAGGTGATGTGAGTCAAAACATTTCAACAAACTACCATTATCTTTTGTCTTCAGGTGAGATTAACGATCTGGAAAAAATCTCATACTAACGAAGATTGACCTGCAGCTAACAAAATAAGTATCCCGACCGTGGAACGCCCTCAGCTTGCGTTGTGTGTACTTGTATTTACTTATGTGCACTGTTCTGATTAGTGATATCATTGACGGTTTAGCTTACAGGAAAAGATATCACGATTCAGGGTTTCAAACAGACGATACGAAGGCTTGTAATGTTTAGATACAAGAAAAATGTGGAAGCTCCGTGAGCCACCACTGCTCACTGGTTAATGTTATTGCAAAGTCAATCAAAAGTATTCCGGTAATCAACACCAGTGTTTTATCGCTATACAACCAGGGAGAAAAATCGTTCAACTAAAGGTGGAATTTAGGTGGACTGCAAGCATAAGACCTGTGATTAAACTCAACGTGACCACTTGGGATGATCAAATATAGAACTCGTGAGAAAAAGATGGTGTCAGAAGAAAGCATCTTTACAAAGTACGCCAGTATGGATTCATTCCGGACCTTACTTGGCAAATACACTAAAGACTCATGCAGTAAAGTAGTGAAATCAGGCGAATAGTCTACCGCCAGGTTTCACAACGGAAACAGGCAACATCCTGCTATTCCAAAAAAGGGGACCTCGTAAACCACCTATCGCCAAACTGACTTCCGTTAAGATTGTCCCTCGCCAGGGATGTCTTCTCGTGGGAGGACAGTCAATAAGAGCCACATGGCGGGCCTTCTGCAACGTACCTGATTAGTTAAGATAGCTTTTGTAAGTGAACAATGACGGTATCATTGTGCGGACTGTGCCCCGACTACTCAGTACTTTTACAAACCCGGAACTAAGGCTTACTAATACCGTGTGAGGATTCGAAATAATACTAGGCAGCTCCTGGAGTACGAAAGAGCCACTTTACTGTCCCAAATTTATCTCAAAGACATGTTCAAACGAAGTGAATAAGACAGTAACCTATGTCTGGGGCTTGATGAACATCGAGTTAGCATGCACTGTCTCATCGCATGCTACAGCTTCATTGCCACTAGTCCGTACCTTGAGACATGCTCCGGGGAATAGATATGCTCGTAACCTAGGTTGTTGTCGGTCAAGTCAAGTCTAGTCAGGAACAGCTCACCGGTGTGACAGGCTATTGTTTTTGCACAATTCTTTTAGTCGTTTTCCATAGTAATAGGTTCGGGGAAGCAGACAGGCTTCGTTATCACATTCACAAGTGACCGATACGAATACCACCAACTTCATGCTGATGCATATGCCCAGCACCATACTACTCAGGAAGTAAAACTGTGGACGGTAATAAGTGCGATCGATGTTGACACGTTCTGTGTCCTGTCGGAAAGGACGAGGACCCGAGCCGACCGGGGCATTGATCTTGAATTCTCGGACGAAATGCATAATAATTTATTCGAAGGCCTGATCATACCGCTTTACACTTCTTCATTGTTACTCTGACGGATAAAACCATAGGGATGGCCGTTCAAAAAAGGACAGAATATAAACTGGAGGCAAGATGACCAAGACAAAGGTTGCTTATGTCCATTATTAACTAGGATCATATCACGGATAGTATTTCGAGAGCACACATTAGCAGATACGACAAGGTCGAAACGCGTCCTGAGCGAAGACGTCAACCAAGACGCAAAACCCAAAATTGACTCAAAACTAGTTCGCAAATGCAACTCAGTTCTACGCGCATCTCAATATCCCGTGAGTCTTTTTCGTAGAGTAAGGTGAGAAAGTTGAAAACGGAATTCCAATTATGACGAACAAGTCGGCAAGGAGGATCAGTACATACCGCAGAAAACCCGACAAAACGATTTCTAATGGTGAGCTGGATGTAAAGTTCGTGCCACGAATTGTCAGTTGATCAACAAACAGGTAACTCAGCAGGTCTGCACATCAGTAAACTGTCCCAAAACTGATCCTCCATTCATGCGAAATTAAGACACCTGTTCCCGACTAAATCAGTCGTCAGGGCAGTGAGTTCGCAGCGAAGTGGTGCGTAAGTGGGTAGCTGATAGTGAATCCGAATTGTTAGAGCAGCAGATTGATTCACCGGGTTGAGGTCGTTGGGGCGTATGCCACGAACGCTCAAGTACCGTTTACCGAAAAAGCGTTGCTTTATGCTCGGAGCGATTCTTGGAGAAAGGCTCGCGGGACACAAGCTATGATATGGTGACAGAAAATGAAAGCGGCTGCGATAACTTCGCGCCCCTTGGTTGGGCTCCACGTGACCCTGCTGGCAGGTGATTGGAAAACATGCAGAGCGTAGTGCACACCCGATCCCAGTGGTGCGAATGCTGTCATTTCCCAGCCAGACTGTCTAGATAAAATTCGTCTGTCGTTGCGCGCAAAGGGCGCCAGTTTGATCCCGCTGATGGCACCTCACTCCTACATGAGGCTCAGCTGTGCGTATTCTAATGCTGTTCAAGGGTGTAGGCACCTTATCCTCAGGGACGCGGGGCTTCTTCACACTAGGTTCCTATGCTTCCCTTTTCTTTCCACTCTTCACTAAGGCTTCCTTTCCTCATGGGTGTATGTGGGCTAACCACTGGTATGTAGTACTGGTGTGTTCTTGTCAACGCTGATGACAACGATAAGATAGTTAGCCTTGAGTTCCAGAATGAGTCAATACAGATGGTATCCAGATAAGACACAGTGTCGGCAGTCAGGACCCGGCAGTCCGAAATGCAGCGGTTGAATTCGTCATACACAAGATGGTCCGTGAGCTATTACGATAATCAACAGGCAATTGTTGTATAAAGAACTTGAATAAACAGTTACCCAACTCGAAGACGGGACACAGTGATCTTTGTCCGTATGAAACTTTGAAATAGACCAAATTGGTGCACACTCCACGTAGCCTGTCGCTGACCAGTCCAATTTTTCCCGCATCTTAAATCCCGACGCGTTCGTACAAATGATATTTGTATCTATATGACTGCATGTGTTTATTGCATCGGTGCAATGACTTCAGAGAGCACTAACACCGAATGACTCAGGTATAAACTGTAGCACCAGCCAACGATGGTATATCTGCCGGGCTAAAATGAGGATTCCCATACTCCACGTGCAAACTGACTAAAATACTGTCAACCCCCGGTGGCGGTCAGTAGACCAAAATGAACAACAGTGCCACGAGTTAGATTATACGTTTAAACCTATTTTCATTTCTTTCATACAGTTAGATTGAACGGTACTGACGAAGGTCGAATCAGAAATCAAATGAATAGATGAGGAATCACAAACACAGAACAAGAGATTTACACTGATGTGCAAGGATACGGTTTGCATATTTCCACCGTATTAGTCGATTTAATTCGACCTCTACGATAGTAATAATAGAATCAATAAGTGACTTTGAAACTAGTGCACAGTGCGATGATGCCGGTTACGCGGCATATGATAGTTACGTTAAAAACGTAAACGCGGTAGGGGTTTGGAAGATGATACTGGACTTGTTATCCGGCATTAAATCATCATTATCATCGCACCTTTCTCCATGTATCCTTAGAAACACATGGACCCAAAAATACTGCCATCCGTTTGGTTAGATGAAGTGAATGGAAATGTTGTAAACTAGCAACTGTAAAAGACTGGGCTCACATCTAGATAGGACGATAGTTCTTGTCCCAGGGGATGGATTTTTTTCAGTCGGTTAAGCGACAGCTCACCACGATAACACATCCGGCGTACATCTACTACTGACCACCCCAAATAGGATCTTTAGCCACAAGAGCGCGAAGGGTCGATACTGTGACGAAGCCACTCTTGAGTTATCCGGCATCGACAGGCTGTACCAATCAGAGCTTCTCATATCAGGACACTCCGGTATTTTCGTTGAGGTAGCTTGATAGAAAACCCGAATTGTTCCATTGGGAATCAAAAACTGATTCAGTGTGGTTCTGTTGGCCGGATGTCTTGGATTCATATGGAACCAGCCCAGATCCCTACCGAGACGTTGAAAATAGTGTCGAATTATCTCTGGAGTTTTATCGATACGTCTTAGGGGATATAATAAAGCATTCTGGCAGGAAATAGTAGTGGTTCGCTTCAGACTCTTCATGTGCTGAGTTCAAATATGCAGCGGCTGTAACCCGTCGCCAAATGAGCTCGAGAATTTTCGACGAAGTCGGAACTCACCGGTTTATCATCCACATATAGAAAATCGAAGGTTCCAAATATTGAGTTTTCGCAGCCAGATGGCATACTCTGGATGGGTAAGAGGGACTCACAAATATTAGTGACGCTCGACTGATGATCGACTGGCCACTGACACCTTCGACCCTTTGCAAACATGAAGATAGCATGCAGTACTGTAGTGGGGTCTGTAAAGTAATCCAGTTGGGTGCGGCCCGTATTTGCAGTAAACGAATTGAAAAGGTTGTTCAGAGCAGCGGTTTTCCTTCTGGTGCATGGTCGTCATACAACTCGAAAGAGGCTCGGCTGTGAAGGAGAGCCGTCATGACTCGAGACGTTAACTATTTAAAACAGTAGGGATGTGCTAACCGGAGGGAGAGTTTTTTCATAAGGGATCGACGTCGACACCATCGTCAGCGAGCAATGAATAGCGTACTCATCGGATTTGATAGCAATGTTAGTCAGTTGATGACAATGTTAGTGGCGTCATCCGCGCTAGGTGGCAATGATTAGACTATACTCGGAAGCACAAAATCACTCACGCACCAGCATCAAGAAAGATAACAGCTCACAATGCACAGCTAAACCAAATGCGACGACGAAGCGTAGAACACAGAGGCACTCGTGTACTAACATGAGACACACGACATCCCCTCAGTACCTCGGCAACAAGGAAGATCGACGGTCAGACGTCACAACAAATTCAATCGACCTTTGGCTCAATTATGAAAGAACGAACACACTGAACTCAACTGGATTTTGTCAAAGCTGTATATCATCGGATGAAACTCAGGCTGCGGGGTTACCAAAGAACAAATCTATAGTGTAATCCAATGAAACATTCGTATAAAGCAAAGTGGTGTCTCTCTGCGGAAGAAACTGTATCTCCCCTGGGCACTTCCCGAAACAGGATCATACTCAACGATAAACTGCTGTGGGTCACAAAGACACAGATAGACCCAAACAACATCAATCTGACCCGAGGTTAATGCACTGCCAGTGCCTCGCCGTATGTAGTGTCCTTCCATACAGACAACAACGGACTATCTAACTGTGTGTCTCAAGAGTATGGGGATGGATGGTTACACGCTACTGATGACACTACCAACTGGTATGCCAATGGTGCGTCACAACAGCCTACCCTGAATGTTGAATGTGCTTTCGCTGTTCTGAGAATTTCTAAAGTTGGATTTGATCAGCCCAGATTAATGGGTAGAGGATAACTGATCGCTCGGATTAGCAAGACACAAGTCGCCCGGTTTACATACTACTTTGCTAATAAGTATATTTGACGCGCAACCCAATGGAGGTTGATGGGACAAATTCGAAATCAGCCTTGCTTTCAGCTACCCGAGAGCAGGTGCATCGAGGACGATCAAACGATAGTACGAGATCTTTCGTCGAAAGTTCGCAAAATCACGTACTATACAGTTTGCAATATTGTGGTATGCATGAAACAACTTTGTGGTGAAAACCTACCTGATCGTTTCACTTCGTCCTTTTTTTGCTGCGACGTGCAAAAGAGTACGTTGCTTTTCATCACGAAGTGCACCAAAGTTCGAAGCTGAAGTGTGACAAGACAAACGTTTCGCGCCTTGTTTTTGTTCACTGAGCAGAATTTGTTTTAGTGTATCGATGTGTTCCACACTTCCGTCACTAGCAAACTTGAACAGCATTCTATGACATTTGTCTAAAGTCCACTCGGTTCCCTCTGAGTTTCGCATTCTGGAATAAAACATAAAAAAAAGACTGCGCTAGAAGCTGGTTATTTTCAACAGCAGTAGCAGTCAGTCGAACAGTAAGTAAGCCAGTGAGGGCGAGAGGGAATGCCAAAACATAGATCATAAGTAGCTGCTCCTGAATGAAAAGTTTCAAGGTAAGGACTCTGGGCTTCAATAGGCAACGATCCGGATTGTGTGCACACTACAAGAAGACTTTCCCCCTAAAAATCGCCAACAGAATTGATCGAATGAGCTACCCAGAGTGGTGGGCTCTGCACAACGGTGTACAGCCCTGCATTTGCTCATGATTTTCAAGTGATACCACGTATTAATGACGTCCAACTTTTAAGTTTAGAGAACACAAAACTTGCCAAGTAATGTAGGGATGAACTCCATTTAGCTGTCCTTGCCAGAGCGATGAGGACACAACATTCAGTGATCATCAAAAGAGTTTGAGGAGCCCGGTAAAAGGTTGTCATAATGGAGAAGTGGCCAAGCTAGACGGCTCGACTTATTACGATGGTAGTAAAATTTTGATGAGCACAGAGTGAAACAATCATGAAAACAGATTTTTTCTCGGCAAAAAGATTGCAGATGAAGCTGAGAAGAGGGGGAGTTTTCATCTACTAGGTTGGTCTTTTTCGCGACAAATGGCGGCGGGTTGCCAATGTGACGTGTGAACGAAATGATCGATTGGATTCGAATGTTTAAAATAAAGCTCTTTAAACGTCTTTTGAAAGTGTTTGCAAGCGACTACTGTCGCAGAGACTCCAAGTCATATAGAGGCGAGAGAACCTGAAACAGCTCAGCAGATAGAGTACGAGGTTCTGACGACCCTTAATTTATCAATTAATTTTGTCTGGATCGCGCAGATTACCAGTATCTCAGCCCTCCAACCGAGTTTGAATTGCATAACAGTTATGCACCGAAAAGGTGTCACAGCCAAAAGACTCAAAGCTGAGCTAATCAAACAACAATGGAAAATGAAAGCCAATGACAGTGCTTCATTCAAACTGTTGGTTCATTGTTCATGAAAACTAAGCTATTGCGATAGACAGTGTCGATTGCCATAAAAGGTCAATTACCCAGTGCACGTAACAGTTTGGCTAAAGAGAACAACTCATCCGTAGTTGTGTTCAGTGGAGAAGTTTTAAATAAGGTTACGCTTTTTTCTTTGAGCTTCGCCTAAACTGCGCACCGTCCAGATATTATTCGCCTCATCCTTTTAGCATTTTGTTTCAACCAAAGTTGAAGTTTTCTGCTGATATTCTGGCGATGCGATAGAGCTTTGTCACAGTCTCGCCTTGCGTTTATTGTAGCATGACCGATTCGCAAATTCATGATCACTAAAATTAAACCGCAAAACATGTATTCAAAAATATTCTGAGGTGCAGCATGCCAAAAATTTAAACTTGATTACATTGTGCCTGATCACGGACAGAAATTTAACTCGAAAATCATGTTAGTATTGGCTTTATCCATCGAAATACTAGGTCAAGTGGAAAGTCAAGTTCTTACTAGTTACCGAGTAAGGTCGCACATAAGTACCACAAGAAGCTGGTGAGTAAATCAAAGGTAACCAGCGATAGAGAGGATCACAAACCAGGGCACAAAAAGGAATTGTCTACCAAACTCTCGAAATGGACCGCATTATTCTCCATATTTCTAACTCATTGTTGACACATCTATAACCTCGCAATCGGTGGCAGGGAACCTACTAGCGCGATTCAGCGTGGATACTTCAGGGTAAAAAAACATGAGTCTGTTCCTGGCCACGACCGAAATGGAGTTCCCCTGTTGTCGCATTTTAAGCGACCGATCGGTCAGTGTTAGCATCAATCATACCGTACCAGTCTAATATATTATTATTAGTGAACTGGAAGATAGAGTCTCAGGGTCTCCTGAAAGTGGCTGTGAAAAATGAAGGGATTTGGACCGGATTAGAAGACGGTTGTCCTTACATTGGCTCATCTCGCTACAGCCAAGCTTTGCTGAGTGGACTTGAACTTCAGAGCCTTAGTCGTGAATTTTCGGACTACCTGCTTTCCACGTAGTACTGAAATGGCTCAGTTCTACCAACGGCCAAGTAGGACATTACGCGCCTCATCAATAAGATGGAGCACATACAATATTCGACTCCTACTCTGGCGATTGTCTGGAACAATTTCGTGCTTCTACCATGCGGTTCTCATTGTGGAGTCAACAGGCAACTGTATTAGCCGTTGCATGGCGCATGCAGTCATCAGCGTTTCAGCGACAAGTCCGGTACAAACCCCGAGACGGGTGAGTAACAGAATAAGCTGTTGTCATTAGTGATAATAGTACAGAGCCAATATGACTCTCAGGACAGTGTGCGTTAAACCAGTGATATGATACAGTCACACCCCTTCACAGTAGAATAAACAACCCTAAAAAAAGATCTTCAAGCCATAGAAGCCATCCGGAAAAAACACGAGGATGAGATGCTACCAGGTTGCCCAAGCCAAAACTAGAGCAGTCGAGATACCGCGGATGGGTTCGAACCAATGAACTTCCGACATTAAGTTTGTTTATTGATGACTGAGCTACCTCGAGCTACCAGTACACTCAGATCAAAATTTCCAGTGGGAGGAATCAAAACCGATTTTTTACGATATTCGCGAATGATGTTCGCGTATCGAACTTCACGAACTGGCTCACCAAATTGGAGAGAAATATTTTTACGCTTGTGTACGCGAAGTCGGAGATGAATCCATCTGCACACGAAAAGCATAAAGTTTTTCCCACTGTGAACGATGTCGCCACATGAAATTTCCTTTTAGGCTGTCAGTGAATCATCGCCTTTAAGGTTGTGCGAGGTTACGCAAAACGGCACAGACAGGGCTAGCCAATGAGAGCATTTGTTTATCCCTGGACAGACAAAGCTGTCAGTTCGTCCAGAGAGAGGAAGCGGAAGAGGGACTATGCAGAGAGCAGAACGGCATTGCGAAATCTGAGGACACCAAGGGAAGCTGAATAAACAAGCGACCAACATAAATTGAAGATCGGTTCTCGTCTTTGTAGTTTGTGTACGGGGATTGGTTTGCAAATTTCGTTGCATGAGATGAAACGATATGAGTTATACCGTTGTTGCTTAGTACATTTCAAGTACTCTATGGATTGTAGATAAAGTTGAAACTACTTCTATGTATCCTTGAATGAGACAAGTTGACAGTTTCTGGAAAAAAAACGGTCCTGTGTGAATCTATCCGTTCCCTTGCCGTTACACAGTACTACCTAAAGATACTTATGAATAAACGCCAGTGATATGAAAAGAGCGTGACCTATCGTCCAGCGTGACTCACTAATGAGCGGCTGAATTCGACCGAGAAAGGGAAATCACAGATGTTGTGCCTCAGCACTGTTGCTAATATAGAAAGGTTACCAAATAATAAACCGGGAAGTTGCTACAGAAGTGGATATTGCTTGGGAGTACATTCCATCAAATATCGACAACACCAAGGATGATCAAGATTCCAGGAAATTCAGGGGCACAAACGTAAGAACTGATCAGTAGGTTTTCCTTTGTTATCGAGGGAGATGTTGATAGCTCAGGCTGTATAAGATAATCACTGTTCTGTTCACATTAAACTAAGCTATTTGGTTGCAAGCGCTACTTCACCAACCGACGTGACACCATCACTGCGTTATGAATTGGCAGCGCATTTGTGGTGCTGTCTGTGTTCATATTTGTGTTGTTGACGGGGGAAAAAGATCTATGGTTATGACGACCAGTCTCGATTTTCGGATGGTTGGCCAGCTGTCTGAATGATCGGTGTCTAGGTAACCTTTGGGTCTGATTTCTCTGACTCATTCTACACGATTTTTTTCCTGTGGATTCCACCGTTACGATTCTTGTCACTTGATCTGTCCATTCCCATGGAGTTGTCTGATTAAGGCGGTGGTCCTTCGTTTGTAACGGTACGTAGATTGAGTTGATTTCTATGTCGGTTGATTTAAGTGGAGGCGGAGTACCATATTCTTAGGAGCGCTAGCACATGCCGTGTTTCTGCGTACCAAGATCTAGATTGAGTCCGTCCTTCTCAATATTCGTGTAGTAAATCAGGGAGAGTGGGTCTTGCCTCCTGATTGCAGCAGTTTTTCATCCCTGCAAGTGGTTTTCGTCCTCCCTGCCGAACGCATTCTATACAGTCAGTTCGGTAAACAAGCCTCTGGTATTCTGGTTGGTCTCCCAATGTAGCTGTTGACCTGTGAGCTACCAGAATTCCCTCTGGTTTTAGTAGCCGTGCCGTGCTGTAAGGTAGGACGATCCACTTGCCCTTTCGATTATGTTGTTGTTGTCCTTGGGGGATCTTCTTCAGACCTCTTCCGATGAAAGTTCGTGGGAAGGCACTCTTCCCAACTACTCCTCAGTTAAAGTGCACTGCAGTGTGTCCCCGATCTCTTGAACACAGTTTGGATGTAAATCATCCTGTGGTGCATTCGATGATTTTTATCGTACTTAGGTATCTGATCTGTGGTCCTACTAACCAGTAAAATCAAGAATGGCAGTTGATTACCCTTATCAAGTTCAACAGTGAATTTGATGTCTTCGAATACGATGTTGAGCAATTCATGTGCGCGCTGCGCTATAGGCCGTTTCATAATGACGAAGGCATCATCTACATAGCAGATGCATAGTTTAGGGTTGAGTATTGCGATGTGTTGACGAAAAGCACCTTTCGCTCCAGAGTTTGGCGAGCAAAATTGCGTGATGGACTGACGGATTTCACTCCTTACAACAAACTGACGGGCCTATCTATGTTTTGTTCGCTAAGAATGCTAAGAATTCTCTAAGAATGCACATGGGCTATTCCCTGCTGCCCTACGTATGTTTCTCTACGGCATCGAGCATATAGTTGGTGTCCTTCATCTAACCACTACCCTAGAGGTATGCTGCCACCCTGTTACGTTGGACGTTTGTTTTAAATTCTGGGCCCTTGCGTACACCAAAATATGCCCACCAGTTGCTTCAAATAGATTAT